GGTCAGCAGAGAGAAAGACCACAAGAGCAGGGCAAGGAACCAACAGTCAGCTCACAGAAAAGGGGGAGGATATGGAGGTTACAGTGCTCCTGACTTAAGTCATCTCTAGAGTATCAAGACTATACATGTCAGCCCACCTCTTTGTCCCAAACATCTCTGCACCCTCTTCTGTCCCCACAGCCTTGTGCTGGACCCACCTCTCCCGTCTTAACATCCTTCAGGACAGCTGCTCTGCATGAACAAGAGCCCAGGAAATCCAAGCTGGATGGAATTAGAGACCTTTTGAATGGCCTCTGCAGCAGCCAAAGTCTCTGGGACCAGGAGATGGGAGGCTTTGGGAATGCAGAGCCCTTCATCTCTGGAGAGAAGTAGATTCACAGAGAGGGGAAAAGTTTGTGCCTGTTGTCTGAAGCAGAGCAGTCACTACCTTGAGCATCACAGGAGGCCTTTTCTCAGCTGTTTGGGTCACCAAAGCAACTCCTGCTCCCTCTGGCCCTTCTAGGAAGACACCCGCCCTTTCTCTGTTCCCTCCTTCCCAGATGCAGGCACACAGGAGGGTTACCAGTGCCTCAGCTCTCCCCGTACCAGCACTGAAAGGGTGCTGCCGCTCTGAGCACCCCCTCGCTCTCCCCCTCTCCACATGCTCCCGGCTCCCGCGCAGCGAGTGGGGGCTGCGCTGCCGCTCCCCCCCACAGCACTCAGCTCTGACGTGGCTCTCCCACCCCCGGCCAGGCCCACGGCATGGAGTGGATGCTGCCGTGGGCTGGTGGGACAGCCCAAAAGGAAAGAATGAGGATGCTCTTCTTGTCTGTGGAAAGGGGCAAGAGCTTCCTCTTCACCCTGCGAAACCCCAAAATCCTGCACCCCACAGTGCTCCAGAATAAACCACCTCCCCTTGGGTTGCTCTGAATTCATGTCACCTTGTTGAAAGCAGCTACGAACTGCACAGATACACCCTGAAAATCCACCCATGGAGGCTATTTTACCACAAGAATCCCCATCCTCCCCTGGTGAGGCTGGGCGAGGAGCAAGGTTTTATATACCAGGGACATCTCCCTACCTTGAGGGAGCCCAGGGGTGACAAATGCAGGCCACCATCGCCTGCCTAGCAGCATCTCTCCAGTGCCATAGCAACAGCTGAGAAGTAGGGAGGCCCAGATGGCAAACTCCTCCGTCTGTCCTTCCCCACGCACGGTGCCGGCGCACGCAGGAGCTGCCCACGCTGCCAGAAGGGTAACTCCCCGGCCCGGCCCACCCCTGGCACACGGCACCCACCGTCACCCCGACACGCGGCACAGCCGGGCCCGGCTTCCCCATGCGCCAGCCAGCCCCTCACAGTGCCATGGTGGGGGACTCAGAGTGACAAAGACCTCAGCTGCTCAGAGCACAGGGGCACAAGGGGCTCTGTGCTGCAGGATCCCCCAGGATCAAAGTTCTCCCTGTGCGTCCAGTATTTTTAGGGAGGTCTAGCAATGAATGGAGCCCCACATCGCAGGGGTGAGGATGGACTGGGGGGAGCTTGAGCATCTCCTTAAGTCACATCTGGCTGGGGACACAGCAAAGGCCACCCAGCTGCACCAGGAAAAGCAATGGCATGGATATACCCCCACCCCATGGTGTCCTCTCCCAAAATCAGGAGGACGAAATACAGAGCATGACTCCAAATTGGAGCCATCTCAGTCAGGTCCAAGGTGGCCTCCCAGCTGGACAGGATCACTGGCAGCTCTCACAGGGATCTGTGTGAAGAGTCGTGTCTCCAGGGATGCAATCCAAAATTGGGTAAACTTCTGGGCATGCTGGCAAAGGGCAGAGGGAAATCAGCCAATCCAACCTCCTATTCCATCTCAGGGCAAGAACCTCCCACCCTTTCCCTGCTTCACCATTAACCTGGCACTGCCTGGATTTGCATGGAAGTTGAGTGTCACCATCCCCTCCAGCCTATCCAGGGCAGGAGCCGCCCAGCCCTGACTGCTCTACTTTTACCAAAAGGAGGATGGGTGGGAAGCCAGAAGCACCAGCAATTGAAGCAAAGGCCATTCATTTGAGGGGTGCAATGGGAGGCTCAATGGTGGGGTACCACACTGTGGGCACCCAGGCCTGCCTTCCAGCCTCCGTGGGCAGCACTACAGGCTGGGTGTTTCCTGTCCCTCTTCTGTCGTCCTTGCCTTGGGGTTCTCATCAGCTGCTGAGAAGGGATAAAACCCAAAGCTCCTGATGGCTTAGCCCCCAGTGCTGGGTTTGGGTGGGCTGGAGTGGAGGGGTCTTACCCTGGCTCAAGTGGGTAAGACGGACAAGCCCTCCAAGATGGCTCACAATGTTTTCTTTTTCCAGACCTCTGAACAGGCTCTGGCAGTCTTTCATCAGCAACACCCAAGCCCTAATTTCAAAGCTGAGCTGTCTTTTGGACATGAATAAGTCTCTGCTTGGTCCCAGGGTTGTTTCACCACCCCACACTCCATCTGCTTTTTCACCAGCAACAAGATGGAGCAGCAACCACCACCTTCCCCAGGGCCCACGGGGAGGACCCATCAGGGGCATCAAATCCCCCAGCCACAGGGACAGGGCTGAGCCTCCCCTACTCACCCCCCAGCCAGTGGGAGAAAGTGTTTTTGCCCACTGGCTGTCCACAAACAAGGCAAGCTGCCTAAGGAGGCCAAGCCCCCGGTGAGCATGGCAAGCAGGAGGAAACACTGTTCAGTGCCCAGCTGAATCAGACTCGCATGCCGGGAGTGATTCAGCGATGACCAGGCTGGGCTTCGAGGCACCCCTCACCCCAGCACCCATGATGTCAGGGCTGTCAAGGAGAGGCCTGACATCAGCCTGGAAGGGTTCAGGACCTGATGCCTCCCAGACAAGAGGATGAAAGTGATTCAACCCTGGATCCCAGCAGTGACTCCTTTGCTGGGAAGCATCCCCACCACACAAACCATCCCTCTGCTCCCATAAGCATCCCCTACAAACCACTGCTGCCTTCCCAGGAAGCACAGACCCTTGGGGAAAGTTTTCACTCGTGATCAGTCTCAGCCCCCCATGGCATTTTGGGGTTCACCCCAGTCCTGTGCCTCAGGCCCCCCAAAGCCTGAGGAGGAAGGTGTGGAGTCGGAAGCGATGCAGGAGGTGAGTGAATGTGCTTTGCTCAGTGTGTAGCAGAGATGCATACAAATTCCAGAAAAACTGGCACCTTCTTCTCCTTCCCCAACTTAAGAGAAGCATCTCTCCAAAAAAATACCCAATATTTGTCTCTGGAGTTGTCCATTTTGGGCGTTTTTTTGCCCCTCTCCTTTTTATGGACTGCTTATCAGCATTTTTCAATTTCAGATCAGTAAAGACATTTTCTGGGCACAAAGGAGTCGTGTAACACTACCTCTCCCAGCAGTTTAGATGTGTCTGTGCATCTGACAACGCACACTTATGCTGGTGGCTTCCAAACCCTTCCCAGCCTTTCCTGCTGCTCCCCAGCCCCCAAAGAGTTAAAACTAAACCACAACAAACAGCGAGCAGAGGGAAAAAACACGAGTTTCTCTGACTTCCCCAGCATCACCCTCATCCCTCCAGCATCACAGAGAAAACACTCCACCACGATGCAGGATAAATATGGGGCAATTGGAAGGGGAGCATTGTATTAGTTTTCCCCACTTACTTTCCCCATTCCTGCTGGGTTTTCAGGGGGGTTGCTGGCAGGGGGAAGGCAGGGCTGGGTGTTCAGGGTCAATGGTACCTGCTGAAAACCTGCCTGGGCATCGCATGAACCTGTAAGCAAGCAGGAAAAGCAGCTCCCGTCATCTTTACCCAGCAAAGGTGACGAGCAGAGCTGCAAAAGAGGCACTGCAATTACTCCATGGCTCTGCTGCAATTGCACTGTGACCAAATAAAACAGCCTCAGGAAGAGACTCAAAGCCCTCTCCCTCCATGCAACCGTGCCATCGAGGTGGGGAAAATAAATAAATAAATAACCTTCCATTACTCATTTCAAACCTTGCTGCATTTAACTGTCAGAATAAAGGATTCCACCTCTTCTCAACTCCCACTGGCAACTTGCTCTGGGGGCTACATTTCCCTAAATGCTCACATTTCAATTAGCATTAGAATAATGAAATGGCTCAGAGTTCATCTCACCCAAAAATGTACTGGAAAATAAAGAGCAGAGATTGGAAGAGATGAGGAATTTTTTTTTTTCACAGACACAGAGCATGATGGATTCGGGAGAAGGAAATATATTCTTTTCTCGACTCCACGCTGATGAGATTAACATGGGCTTTGCTAACTGCCTCTCCAAACAAGGATAATGCAACTTCAAGTTGATTTTCCAGATAAACAAGCATGCAAACAAACGCAAAGTGCTCAACTAAAAATATCTCCCTGCTCCGATGCTTCTCCCCACCACCACCACCCCAGCCGAAAATGCACAAATCCTATCGCAGCACCACGACAAGTTGTAAAATTATAACAATGCGAGTTAAATAAGCTTCTTAAGGGACATCTCACTGTCCTATTTTTTTTTTCCTCCCATTAAAAAGGCGAAACCGCAGATCCCCAGATACACTCAGGGAAGGGAGCATTTTCTGATGTGGGGATGTAAAAAATAATGACATTCTAACAAGATCCAAAGTCTCAAGAAGGGAAAAGCAGCTCAGAACTTGCTTTTCTTGCCCAATTTGGGTAAATATGTGACGATGTGTGGCTGTAGCGTCCCCCCTCCCCTTGCAGAAGCAAACAGTTAAAGGAAGCAGCAGCTTTAGCATCTTTGCCTGCTGCTCTCTCTCCTGCTAAGGAATCAGATCTCATTTACTTTATTCCTCTTAAGCCTTGGCCAAACTGTTGCTGGGCTTTTTATGTTTTTTTGTGGGGATGGAATAAGGGAAAAGCCGGATCTGCGTCCTCTGCCCGGGGAGCCGGACTGAGCCCAGACAGCGCAGCGATGCCGGGGCACCTGAGCCCCGCACGGGCGACCCAGCCCGCACCCTGCCGCGGGAGGGGGAGCCCGGGGGACCCCCACTTACATGGAAGTGATGTTCCTTGAGATGTCCGTGATATTGATGCTCGTGTTGCCATTGCTGCTGCCTGAATCCTGCCCTTCCAAGAGAGGGAAGAGGTTCCCATCATCCGGCTTGTTGCAATTGATGTCTGTCTTGCTGCAAAGACAATTAGCAGGGCAAGCCAGCACCGAAAGCAGATAGTCTCCCCAAATGCTCCAGAGCAAAAATACCCTCCAGAAAGTGCACTTGGTAGGGCAAAGAGAGACATCCATCTCCGATTGCTGCTTCTAAAAAAGAGGAGGAGGAGGAAAGGGGGGATGGAGGGAGGGGAAGGGGGGGAAAGGGGGAAGGAAACAAAGACAGAGGGAGGAAAAAAAAAAAAAAAACAACAACAACAAAACCTCAAGCGATCAGATGCAAAAATCCTCCAGCAGATGAAATCATGCTGGCAGCTGGCTGGGAGAGGCTGTAATTCCCGCTAGGGCAGCGGCCGCGGCCGCGGGCGGGGATGGATGCATGCCGGCCCGGCCGCCCGCCGCTCCCGCAGCCGCTCCGGAGGATCGCAACGGGAGGCTGGGGAGGGAGGGATGGGAGGGGAGGGAGGGAGAGAAGCAGCCGGGGAAATAAATAAATAACAAAAACGGTGCGAAAGTCACCAAGTCCCACCTACTGGGCAGAATTAAAATTGACACACCTGCAAAAAAAACAGACAGAGGGAGGGGAGGGGGCGATCTCCCCTTCCCATCGCTTCCCTCCCCCAGCCTGGCCAACCCTGCTGCGGCGGGCACAAAAAGCAGAGGAGGAGGAGGAAGAGGAGGAGGAAGGCTTGCAAAGAGAACTGGACTCCGCAATAAAAAGGATTCCCCACCCCCTTCCCTCTCTTCTAAAATCAGTGTAGGAGGAAGGGGGGAGAGAGGGGAAAAACCCACCCCAGCACTGCTGGAGCTCAGCTCAGCCCCGGTAGCAGAAGAAAAGTTGAAGCTGGGGTTAAATTTGTGGTGGGGGAGAGCAGAGGGGCTCTGGCTCGGCTCCTGCTTTCTCAAGCTCTTTTGGAGGACGATGCTGCCTTTCGCTTGGTTGTTGGGTGGGTTTCCCCCCCACCCCAATCAGGACATAAGGGTGGAGAGGAAAGAGAGATTAAACTGAACTGGAAGAGAATAAAAGCCAGTGTGGATTACAGCAATTTAAATCTTTTTTTTTTTTTCCTCTTTACCGAGAGGATCCTGGCGAGAGGCAGATCAGACGGCTGGGTGGGGAAAAAAGCGACTGGAGAGCACCCAGGAAGGACTTTCTAGAAAAGATGCACCCCCAACCCCCTAAAAAAATGCATCGGGGACCCAGCCGGCTGCCGGGAAGCGCAGGCAGGAGCACTCAGGGTCAGGGCTCCCGTCCTCTCTCCCCTGGCTTCCCCCTTCCCTCCTGCAGCAGATTCTGCAATCAGACATGCAAAAAAAAAAAAAAAAATCCTGAAAGAGGAAGACTGAAGTGTTGAAAAGGCTGAGCTCAGAGCGCCGAAATGGCATCAGGAGAGCAGTGAGTGCGAGCTGAACAGCAGAGCGAATTAAGATGCATGGTGCATTTTTGGCAAGCACAAACCCAAGCAGATCAGAGCTCTGCTTAATTTGCTCTGCTTTTCCACAGCGCTTTTCTGCATGCCTTTTTTTTTTTTCCTCCTCTCCCCAATAGTTTCATGTCTCTGCTCCTCTGCACAGAGACACAGTGATAAAGGGATGGTGCTGCAGGCAGGAGCACGGGTGAACGGAGGAATTACAGGTGTAGGACTCCAAATATTTCAAGGGTCTACTTCTGCCAGGTACAGAGCTTTGCAACGGGAGGAGAGAGAGTACGAGCTGAGCCAACAGCTCCAAGATCTGCTACACACCCCGAATCATCCTAGTCCAGAAGAGGCAACTGGACTGGGGGTGGGGGAGAAGGGGAGAGAAGGGAGAGGGCAAGGAAGAGGGGATAAATAGCAGCTGCAGGGAGGATTTGCAACTGGGATTCAGGCACCTCTCAGCGGGGAGCAGCTGCCCACAGCCATGCACACGGGTAGCCCGTCCCAGTGGGACAGGAGCAGGGATCATACTTAGGCAAGTCCTCCACCCATTGCTGCCCAGCCACATTAGAAGCCCTGGGAATGGCAGTGATGTGCAAGGAGCTGCACGTTCTGGAGCATCAGTCCTGCTCCCATGGAGTCTTCAGCGGTGCCAGGCAGCTTCACCAGGGTTCCTCTTGCCAGGGCTCCCCCAGGAGAAGCCAGGAGCATTTGGTTAGAGAATAAACATCAAAGTGGGAGGGCTGGTTTCTTCTTAGCCCCACCCGCTTCTGAATTACCAAAGTGAAACACTTGGAGCAAAAGAGATCACTGAAGTGCCTGGCACTGCAAGGAAGAGGAACACGGGGTGGGGGGTTGGTAGTTCCCCACTCCCATGAGAAGCAGCTCTCATCCTCAGGCACCTGTATGGAGTCACCAGGGAGGAAAACAGCTAGGCATATTTTCTACTCCCTGCCTCAGTTTCCCCACCCATTTGAGAGAGATGTAATTCTTGTGGCTCAGCAGCACAGGGGACAGGGATATCACACGACCTGCAAAACCAGTGCCCAGGATGAGACCAGGGCGTCCTTTATCCTGGAGCTGGTGCAAGGTCACAGACTCTTCGTGGTAATTGATATCAATCACACAGTCACAGGTGAAACCAGTGTGAGGCCATCAGCCTACCCTGGCATGTCACTGCAGGGCCAGTCACAGGGGGGACACATTCAGGGGGCACACAGCCACCTTGGGGACAGACTGCAGTCCCACAACACAGCAAGGCTATCCTCTGGGCAGACCAGCTCCAGGACCTCGGGGAAGCCACTGTCACCTGGAAGGGCCAGAGTGGCACTGCTTGATAGGGGCTGCAGGAATGGATCACCTTGTCCCTCTGTCCCCCAGGGCATGGGATCACCCCTTGGCCTGGTGCAGAGTACAACTGCTAACGAAGAACAAATCCAGTCAGAGAGGCTTTAGGGCCATCTGCAAACTGAGGCAATTACCAGCTTTGCACTCTGCTTGCAAAGACGAGGTTTAACCCACAGAAAGTTGGGGAGGTCTCCCGGGTCAGCTGTCCTGGGTGTAGGGGACAAGGAGGCCACCCGAACCCCATGACACACCCACCCCACTCTGCCACCTGGTGCCAGGAAGGCCCCACTTCAGCAGCTGATGAGAAGGTTTTGTGCCAAGCCACGGCTTCCTCTGCCACTGATAGATAAAGCTGCTCTTCGGGAGGAGACGTGGCCGGGCACAGCGGGGGGGAATGGGAGGAGCGGGAGCATCCAGCTGGGTGCCCGGAGGGCAGGCGGAAGATAGGCAGGAGAGGAAAGAAACTGTGGGCTGTTCATCCTCCCTGGTGCAGGCTGCCAGGGGGATTGGAGAGTTCACTGGGAGAAGAGTCTGCAATGACAGCAGAGAGCAGATGGGCCACCAGCCTTCACCCAGCACCAGAGCTGGGTGGCCCCTGGTACTGCTACCATTGGCACACCCAGACCCAAAAGAGGACAGGAGTAGTTGGGAGCTGCCCGTAGTGGGAAAGCACCATCCCTGCCTCCATCTCTGCCTCCATCCCTCACTCCTGTCCCCGTGGAAGAGGGAGACAGGAGCCCAGCATGAGTGATGGGGCTGTCAGAGCACAGAGATGGTATCTCAAGCAGAGGCCTTGCCATTATTGCTGTGAGGGATGCTGGCAAATTGCTCTTTTAAGAAGCATCTCCATGAAGGATGAAATCAGGGCTTCCTGCGAGAACTCTGTCCCATGGAGGCTCAGGGGCTGGGTTCCCTCTGGCCTTTGAGACCCTCCAGAAATTCCAGGCACAAGGAAACACCAGTTCCTCTACAGAAACCTCCTCATCTCCTCCACCTCAGCTGGCCTCTGCATGGGGACAGGAGTTGCTACCAAAACACTCATCCCAGACAAAGGAGCGGGGCTGGGAAGTGCTGGAAGGGCTCCTGGCCACAGACAGAGGGGAAGGGAAAGCAGCTATTTGCTTTGTGGTTCTACTCTTCCCACCTACACAGCTGCCTTTAGCATCTCACTCTCAGGCTGGCTGTCCCTTGGGGACAATCTTTCCCCTTGCCACCCTTCTTCCCAGGTAATGGTTCCCCAGAGTACTGCTTGCCTCCCGGGGCCAGCAAACACCACAGCCCCTCAGGGCACGACCAGAAACAGATCCGTGGTCCAATATCTGCTCAGTCATCACAAGCTCCGACGTCCACTCCTGCCTCTGATCTCGGTATCGATCCGCAGGCCCGCGCTGAGGCATGCATTGCCCAGCTCCCTATTACCAGAACAGCACTCCAGCTCGCTGAAAATGATGAGCTGACATTTTTCTAGCCCCCCTCTTGTCCAGAAGGATCTGCAGATCTGCCGGCAGCAGGACCACTTTGCACACCTCTGACACGCAGCCAGCCCCGGGCGGGCAGAGCTGCTCCGACAGCGCACAGCGATGCCGGGCAGCAGCACGGGGTGTGAGCTCTCACAGGAGAGGCAGAGAAAAGGGTTTCATCCTCTGCCTTTGGAATTTGTTTGCAGGTTCATTTGCCCCTTTGCAGACAGACCCTAAGATCTACACACTGCAGAGGGTCCAACTTGCAAAGTAAATTCCCAGGAGCTGCTGCCAGCTTTCAGGGAGGGGGAGTCAGGGCTGGTTTGGGGCACAGCATCCACCATCACTGATTTGGGCTGCAGGAGGAAAATACCAGCCCCTGTGGAGCCAAGAAGCATTTGCCTCTCACCTAAGCCATGCAGGCACACAAACATCAAAAGTGTTGCTTCCTGAAGCAGAGCCCCTTGTTCCCACCACTCTGGGAGGTGCTTGGAAGCATCTTTTGATGTGATCTGTATCACTTCACAAGTGCTTGGCAGGAGAAGCCCCTGTGCAGCAGGGAAGGTCACATCCTGCACATGGGTCAGCACGGCCCCAGGAACGTGCAGGGAGAGGAGCAGGAAGAGGGGCAGGGAGAGGTGTATGGGACAATCATATCTGGGCAATGACAGCTGTGCAATGAAAGGTGAAGGTCTAAGCTGGGGGAGGTCACTGGAGACAAGCCTGTTGTAGGAGACTCCAGCCTTAAGTTGACCTTGCCTGTGCTCTGGGCATGTGGGGACAAGGTCAAGATGAATCCATTCCAGCTGATTTCCTGTTCATAAACTACACAAGACTAATAACAAAGTGTAGGGAAAAGCATCTAAATTGGAACTGTTTGCTCAGATTATCAGGAACAAAAAATTTGAGAGAAAACATATTCAAGTGAGGTCTAAAGAAACAGCCCTGTCACAAAGATAACAAATATTGCTGTGCTTGCATTCATTGCTGAGACCTGAACCAGTGTCCCACCTAGATAGCTCCTGAATTAATGTGTCTAGCCAGGGAAAAGGTCTGGTCATGGCTGCAATGTCCAAGAGATGGTCCAGAGAAGATATCTGCAATGGTAAAAGAAAAAAAAAAATGATTAAAATGAAGATCTTGGAAAGCCCAAGGAATAGGAAAGGGAATAAAGGGGAATACTGTGGAGCAGATTATAGCCTCTGCCAAGGAATCAAGGCAGCGCTTTGA